CCTGGAGGCCTTTGTGACAGAGCCTCTGGTCTTTCTGTGCTCTGCTCCGGGTGTCCCCACCCTGTCAGAATGCGGGACTTCTCCTGCTTCCAGGAGGGGCTCCCTGAGTGTGTTCTTGAAGGAGGGCCATGTCTATGCAGGAGACATGCCCAGGAGTGCTTTTTCACTAGGTGCTCAAAATCAGGCCAGGAAAAAGGAGTGAACCAGCAACCCTCGCTACCAGTCTGCTGTTCCCAGACAGATGCATCGTGGAAGAACGAGCTGTCACTGCCACTTAGGACAACTGAAGCTCCGCACAGAGCCTTTGTAGCACAGTCAGTGATGCTTGAAAACCCGACTCCAAGTGATGTGGACAAGCAGAGGATAAAGCCTCCTGGGAGTCCAGGGGTCAGAGGAGAGGTCACTCCCAGAGTTCTGTCCCTTTGGAGTGAAGGGGACATCAAGAGTGGCTCTGTCTTGAAGTCAGGAGGATATGTGGCTGAGCTTCTGTCACTCTCAGCTTTAGCAGCTCCCAAGTCCTCTGGCTGTTTTGTGGAGGGAATGTGGCCGCCCCTGAGGAAGGCAGTGTCCTGAAAGAGAACTGTGGACACTGGTTAGCCCCATCAATATTTCAGGCCACCTGGGGGATGCTGAGCCTTGGAGAAGATGTGTAAGAGGTTGTGTCTTGGGTAGAAGAGACGTTTATCAAGTTCTTATGTTAGATTCTGCTACCTTTGGGGAGAGGGAAGAGGGTGTTTTAGACACAGGAAATAAAACCCAAAAGCAGTGAGCTGGACGGAAGAGGATAATAAAATGCATTTCTTTTTTCTTCTCTGCTTGTGGAAATAATTATTGGGAAAGAAAGCCCTATCTAAGAATTTAATCTGGGCCAAAGAACATGGAAACTGCAATTTTGTAGTTGGGTTTTCTCTGTGGAGAGAAGTGGTTAGGGACAGGTGAGTGCCGTTGCTGAAGGACAGTTCTAGGATAGCGCAGGCCTGTTCTCACAGAGCTTGCCGCCTGGAGGGAGATGCAGGACACACAGATGACACATGGCTCGCACACACACTCGCACACTCCGTATGGGTGCCTGCAGGTTCCAGGAAGGAGCGTAAGGGGGGAGGCTGGAGGATGTCTAGGTGGGTGCTGGGAAGGCTCTCTGAGGATGTGACATCTGGACAGAAGCTGAAGGAGGTGAGRGATTTGGCCACACGGAGTCTGAGGGAGCATGTGAGGCAGGGGAATGGCAATAGYGAGGACCCTGAAGGGGGAAGGACAGCCATATGGCTTCTACTCCATGAGCAAGAGAAGACTGTGGTGCCCCGCAGTCACCTTTGGCTGGGAGCTCAAGGAGGAGTCGGTGGAGGTGGCATCTGGACCAAGCCTTGGAGGAGTCACAGGGTTTCAGAAGGCCAGGTTCTAAGCACCGAGGGAAGACTGACACCCTGATGTTCCCAAGGCCTTACACTTGGGAGCTGGTCAATAATATTTGTGGATAAGTGGACAGTTGGAGAGGAGGGAGGCACGACAGGCCCAGGGAGGGCTGTGAGTAAAGATGTCCAACTGGGAATGCGGCCGAGTGTGTTTGGAATGTTGGTGAGAAAAATGGTGTGAAAATGTCATGCTGTGAATAGGTTGAGGTAATGATAAAAAAAAAAGGGCAAAAATACTAAATGCTGAAGTTTGGGCTTCGTTTTGTAGTTAAGGAGGAACCGGGTGGTTTTTGTCGGTGGAACTGCACACACCAACAGAACATATGCTAAGGAGAATCAGCTGGGGGCTGGGGGAGCGCGGTAGAGACATGGTTGGCACAGATTTTGAGACTGATTGGATGGAAGGGGAGAGAGGTGGGGTCCGGGGTATCTGATGTTCTATGTCCAATTGACCAGGAAGATGATGGGATTACTGACAGGGAGACAGGAAAATGACATGGAATGATTTTGCGATGACAGTAGTGCACCAGGTATCTAATGCTAGCTAACGGAAGAGCAGGGTGATGCTCAGAGAGAGGGAGGTTGGATCTCTGTCTAGGGGAAACATGGGTATTTGGAACTCAAGAACAGGGTGTTTTAGGAAATGAGATGAGAATCTCACATTTGGGTTGAGAAAGAAAAGGAACCCAGAAGGAGGGCCAGAGGAGTGCAGAGAGCAGAAATGCCCAGGGCCAGGGATGCCAGGACTGGAAGTGTCAGGGGGAAGGTGGCCAGGAGAGTCAGGTGCTGTGACTCCTGTCACAGGAGTCCTGGTGATTTCTGGGAGGTGTGTTCGTTGTGGACTGGACCTTTCTCCAGCAGGGCCAGCCGACTCTCACTCATGGGGCTCTCCGTCTATGAACTAGAAGAAAGTTAGGAGCTGGTTGTGGGGCCACAGCTCTCAGGCGAGACAGTTCAAGTCAGATTTCTGCTTGTCAGACTTAGTGGGCACACATCTGTTCTGTCCTAGAAACACCAGCRGTCTCTGTGGGTCAGCCATTCTGATTGCTGCCTTGCTCGGCTGCCCATTTCAGTGACTGTGCCAACCATGTCTCTGTGATGAAGATCCCCTGCCACCCGGCACTCCTGTCCTGAAGAATTTGATAGTCCAGTCCCGTGGCAGAAGTTCCCACTGTTCTCCTGGCCTGCAGAGGAGAGCCACCATAAAGATGTTCCAGAAGCCAGGTCTGTCCTTATCCTCTCATTTCTCACAGGCCTGGAGGCACAGGTAGGCAGTGGCTGAACAGGTCTGTGTAACGGGTTTACTCTACAGTTTGGATCCCCCTAAGCCGCTGGTTATCTTAAGGTTCTCCAATGAGGTCGGCATTGCAGCTTCAGTAGTGTAGGCCTCTCTGTTTCTATGTTTCTGGAAGCCAACTTCACAAACTCGAAGGATTACTGCCAGCTGCTTGAGTGGCCACACTGACTCTTGTCTCTGCTCAGTGAACTCACATCAACAAATTGGCCCAATTCCATGTGTCACTTCCGTCCTGATCCAGCACCTTAGGGKTCATTCTCACATGTTTCCAAGATACCGTTGATAAAAGCTCATAGCATCTTTCCCTTCTTCAGTGTGTGTGGCACCTCCGCACGCTCTGGATCAGCTCCTGAGCTCTGCCAGARCTAGAGTCTGGCCACCGGTCAAGAAGCAAGGGAAGGACATGTTTTAGTCAACTTTTCCTCAATGTCATAAAAATACCTGTCAAGAAAGATTGAGAGGAGGGAAAGTTGGTTTTGGTCTTGGTTTCAGAGGTTTAGTCCATGGTAGTCCGACTCCATGGCTGTGGGCCTGAGGTGAGGCTTATATCACGCAGAAGGATGTGGTACAAGGAGACAGCTCAGGACGTGGCTATGGGAAGCAGAGAGAGCTCTGCTTACCAGGGACAAAACCTAAACCCCAAAGGCACATTCCCAGTGACCCACCTCCTCCAGCCACACCCTACCTACCTACAGTTACCACCCAGTTAAACCATATTGGTGGATTCATCCACTGATGATGTTACACCTCTCGTGATCTCATCATTTCACCTCTGAACATTCTTGCATTGTCTCACACAAGAGCTCTTGGGGGCACCTCACATCTAAACCATACCAGGCCATGAGTAGGCCTGGGGGAGAATCAGCAGCCCCCTGCAAGGAGCTGCCTAATAAGCACCAGTCAGGTTCTTGAGTCACAGGATGAGTTCAGAAAGAGGAAACAGACCAGGAGGAAGGGGTGCTTCCACTGACAATCAGTGGTTGGAAACTAGCGTAAGTTCTCAGAGTCCCCATCAATGCCCTGATTTTAACAGTGAAGATCCTTCAGGCCCGTGGGTTCAGTGTGCTTGTGACTCAGMAGTCTTTAGAACTGGACGTAGGGCTTGGCTACCAGAGAGTTGTTGAAGCTTTGTGGTCCTCCTCGACCTTGAACTGGGAGCTAGAACCCCAAACACATAATTTTCTATTGCTAAGTTCTTTAGTATTCTCAAAGCAACTGACTCCGTTATGTTGTTTTGATCGAATGTATTATAGCAGCAACTATATTATAGTTTATTTTATCAACTGTATTATAGCAGTGGTCACTCAAAACCTTGTCTTTAGATACTTGATTATAAGCAACAATTTAGTGAATATTTTGCCATCAAATGTCACGGGCTACCAATGTCCTCTTTGCCACTTTTGACAAATGCAGTGATAATAATGCTTTCAAATCTCATCCGATCCAATTCTAGATGAACCAGTTCCAATTCAAAGAAACCATTTTTAAAGTTCTATTCTCCATTGTGTTAAGAGAAATAGCCCAACTCAGAAGGTCAAGGGTCGTGTCTCAYATATGGAAGCTGGAGAGGAAAAAGGAAAAGAAAGATGGAGCGAGCTAATAAAAATCAAAGGAAGATCAGCAGAGGAGAGGAGAAGGATCCAGCGAGGAACGAGGAAAAGGAAAGGGGAGTACTGGGGAATGATACTGCCAAATTATATYGTTATATTGTGTGCRTGTGTAAATATGGAACAACAAATCCTACCACTCTATACGACTTGAATGCACCAGTAAAAGAATGGGGAAAAAATGAAGGTCTGTTCTCCTTAAACTACTGCCAGTGTCAATGTGGGCCTCAGGTAGGGTTTGATCAGGGAAGCGGGGCCACTGCGAGGGACATGCATATGGCATTTTTTAGGGTAATTGGACCATATACCATTGTGGAAGCTGGTACAAGTTCCATGGAAGACTGTTGCCTCTGTTTGGTGGGAGGCTGGATGTCTTCCTAAGTCAGCAGGGCCAGAAGTTGGGGAAAAAAGCTAGACACCAAGCAGGGGACCTTGAGGACAAACAGGAACCTCTGAAGAGAAACTACACCCACAAGGACAAACTTACTTCTGTGTGTCCCTTGCCACCTCCAACCTCGATGACCTAAGTGACCTACAGAAGTAGCTGGTGTCCTTTGCTGTGGAGCTGCACAGTGCTGGCCCAGGACCAGAGAAGCTGGGGGAGGAAATCCAGCAGAAGGAGGAGCCTGTGCTCCAGTGGGGCCTCGGGCCAACACCCTGCGCCAGAAGCCAGACCTGCTGTGTGCTGCTGGGCCCTCCCGGCCTTCAGAGCCCCAGCCTCACAGGTCTCTTGCCCTKCTCTGGTGGCCGCCCACAAGCAGACCATGCAGTCCGAGAAGTTCCACTTAGCTATGCTGCCACGTGACCAAATGCCGGTAGGACAGAGGTGCCTGAGGTGGGAGCTCTGCAGCCTGGTGAGAGCCCTGGGGGCCAGGGTTCAGCCTGTGTGGACAGCTGGAGGGACGGACTGATTCCATGTGTTGTCCCAGACCCAGAGTCAATATCTAGGGGAAGGTGCCTGGGAATCTCTGACTAACCAGGACCTCAGGCGACTCCTGTGACTCAGCACATTTCTCAAACTCCTGGGAGGAGCTTGGGCCAAAGGAAGCTTTAAAGTTTTAATTCACTTATTTATCATGTTCATTAAGATTGGGAGGGTAGCTGGCTTTACAAACAGAGGGGAAAAGACTGAGAGTAGGGCAGACATKGCAGGAGACAGGAGGGCATGTGGGGAGGAGGACTGGTGTCTCTTGTTAAAATGAAAGAAACCAAGGGGAGAGAGAGGGAAGCACTGATAGCAGAGGGAGGAGGTGGAGGCCACTTCTGCAGGACCACCTCCAGCAAAATGGGGCAGAATGGAGGCCCAGGTCAGGTGTGGAGCTGGATCCAGACCAGAGGGGCCCTCTGGAGTCATCCAGAGAAGGTGAAGATGCATCAGTGGGGAGCTGGGCGGCTGGGAGAGCAGGTGGACCTGCAGGGGTTCTCGAATTCCACCAGGGGCAGGAACCGCTTCCAGAATCTTTTAAATATCAAAAACTTATTAAGCATCCTGAATGTTGGGTCTTAGTAGAGTAACAGGACATTGATTTCGTAGTCTTAACTTACACATCTCATTTTCTAACTAAGAAYGTAATTTTGCAAGGCGTGGTGGTGCACATCTCTAATCCCAGCCACATGGGGAGGCTGAGGCAGGAAGATCTCAAATTCAAAGCCAGCCTCAGCAACTTAATGAGGTCCTGAGCAATTTAGTCTCAATATAAAAAAATAAAAAGCACTGAGATGTGACTCTGTGGTTAAGCACCAAACCAAACCAAACCAAACCAAACCAAAAACAAACAAAAAGAACTAATTTCTATATTCTTTATTCTCCCGCATCTGCTAAATAAAAAAGAATAGACAATTGGAGATCTTTGTCATCTTGACAGGGTTGATGAATTTACCCTTGTTGGGTTTCATGTTTGGGTTTAGGAGCTTATTATTATTATTTTATTAGTTGTTGATGGACCTTTATTTTTATTTATATGTGGTGCTGAGAATTGAACCCASTGCCTCACACATGCTAGGCAAGCACTCTRCCATTGGGCTACAACCCCAGTCCCAGTTTAGGAGCTTATTAAGTCTCTTTGGYTATGGTTAGGAGTGGGAGATGGAATCAGATCTCACTGCCTCAGGACCTGGAGACCCCAGGTGTCTGGAATGGGGTAGCTGTGTGCCAGGGGGATGCTATCAGAAGTCAACAGGAGGATGCCAGTCAACACAGCRTGGTGCCTGGTGTTTAGCCAGTCCTAAATGGTTATATCCTTGGTGTCAGATTATGTGAGGGTGACCAGTGAGATTTGAGAAATAGTTGAGTGTGGACCAGGTTGAAAGGGCATCCATTTGGGTCTAGTGAAGGTTTCCTGGTGGATCTGGTTTCTTTGATCTGACCTTCCAATACCCAGCCCTGTCCTTGGGCAGGTTTGCATCTGAATACACCCATCCCTCTCTCTGTTCCTTATTTGGCCCTGGTTTCTGTCCCTTTGTTTCTAGCAGGGGCAGAAGCTCTCCCCAGCAGAGCTCCTCTCCCCTGCCTGGGCCTCTGCCTTCTCCCCGTGCTTCGCTTCCTCTCCTACTCCTGTTCAGGCCTGTTCCATGTTTAGACTTTCCACAGCATGGCAGCCCTGCGTCAGGAGCTCAAGGCGGAGAGCAGAAACCTGAGCAGGGGATCCAGGAGGTCTGAGGGCCTGGAGGATATGATGGCCTGGGGAAGGGGTGGACCTCCTGGCCACTGTGCAGCTGCTGGGTGCCCAACGCTGCGTTGCTCTCTTTGACAGGCAAACCAAAGGGACAACAGAGGAGGAGGCGGAGAGGGGTGAGGGGTGACTGTGTGAGCTTGTCTGCTTCCCAAAGTCAGTGCCGATTCCTGGCTGCTCACAGGTATGGAGCCACCTGGAAATCCCCACCCGACTCACCTGGACGATGAGGAGGACAGCGTTTGATTAGTCTGGAATGAATTTGGATTTGCTGGTTTGTCTTAGTGATGAGTCTTTTATTGTTTTCTTTCTTGTGGAGGACAGGGCGGCTGTGAGGAATACTTTATGCACAGTAAAGCTGTCTACCCTCTGTGTTGAATTGAAGAAGAAAAACGGAGAAACCTAGCCTTGTTCCCTTCTCCCAGAGGCCGGGGACATCCATGTGTGTAGTGCTTTTGATTAGATCTGCTGTTTGCCCATGGCAGTCATCCATAAAAACACTCCTTTCCTATATACATCCTTCACCCTCTGCACACGAAGTCCTCCGCTCTCCCTCCTTCTCTTTCTCTCTCTTTTTCATCAAAGCCAAACAGAGTGGTGGTTTTCTTCAGTAAAACCCCTCTTCTTTTTGGCTCCATGCCTGGCTCTTCCCAAGGTGCTTGGAAAGAAAGGAAAAATTCAGAATCGTTTCCTTTTGTTCTTGACTGATTCATGGGTGGAGGGAGGAAAGGGTGGCTTTCAGTTTGAAACACAGTGCGATGTTCAAGCAGCTTTAACAAATGGTGCCCACTAATCCGCTTCGGTGGGTTGTCCACCAGTTGTGAGCTCTTCCCTCCCCTTTTCTTTTCCTCTCCGTTGCTGAAAGCCCATCAGCCAGCACGATGCTCGGCACACAGTGGGCTTCTGGTAATAGGAGAAAACAGAATGTGGTGTGTGCTCAGTCCCACGTGGCACATGCGCACCTTCACAGGAAGCTAAGAGCTTGTCAAGATCCACGTAAATTAAAAACAATATTTGCACCAGCGTCTCTACTTCCAGAGCTTCATTTCATGGCGTGCCGTGGCATAGATCAGTCTTAACTTTCTCAACCCAACGAGAGTTAAGTAGGAGCAGAAAAATCAAACCAAGGCTCTCTTAATTATAGCATTGGTTTGAAAGCAATTATTGACCTGTGGGATCTCATTATTTGTCTTTCTGTCCATCCATATAGCCATGTGTCTAAGATGGTCAAGAGGTCAACAAAGGAATTCAGCTGGAAATATGGTTCCTCTAAAGTCACTGATAAGAATCGGAATTGGCGTGAATCTCTGTGGCTGGGTCCATTTCCAGGACCAAATAAAAGCAAGCCAGCAGTCCTGGGAGGAACACCCTTCAGCATAATGGTTTTGCTAACATCATCATGTGAATGGATTTACTTTTACAAGTATATTTTGCAAAACCAAGAAAAGAAAAGAAAGGGGGGGGGGGAGCTAAGAAAGGAGAGTCTTACACATTTCCTAAAAGGAAAATTCATTCTCTTTTCCCCACCAGTGCTGACTAGCTGCCTTAAAGGAGAAGCCTGTTAAAAGAACATATTTGTGTGTGGAGCAAGGTCATGCACTTATTGGTTTTCTGCTGCACAGCATAAATATACCAGACAAGGAGAATCCGTTTGCTTTTACTGCAGCCTGTACTGTGCTCAAAGGCTGCGGCACATATATATTTCTACGCTGGCCATGCCAAAGTGCAGAGGAGCCCAGTCAGAGGTTTCCGAATCAGAGGAGGCGAGCCAAGGTTTGTTGGAAGAAATAAACATGTTACCTGGAAGCACACTCCAGTCTTTCCATCTTTACRTCGGGAATGTGGTTTAGAAGTGGGTGGGACCAGCCTGCCGGGTCCAAGTCTCTTGAAGCTGGTAACAGGCAGATGACTTCCCAAAACGTTCTCGAATTCTCCCTTCTCTTTGGCACTCATCTGTCCAACTGTTGCAGCCTGACTAATATTATTAATCCCCACGCTGTTCCTCCTTCCTTGACCAAAGTGGCAACACTTCACTTATTCAGCATGGTCCAGAATGAACCGTTCTGCATAACTGCATTTTCCAGCCGGCCGAATTTCACTTTGCTGAGCACCAGAATGTGCTTTGTTTTTGTCATTTTGAATAGCAATCCTCCTAAAATGTTTTAAATGTTTACATTCTTGAAGATCTTGCCCAAACACGATGTAACTTCATCTCAGTGATTGGGGGGCGTTTTCCATACACCATCTGTGCTGTAAACAGGGCCGCCCTCGCAGGCCACGGCATGACTGGGGCTGCCTGGCTGTGCTGAATGGCTTCAGGGGCTGCTCGTTCTGAGTCAGGGCTCAGCCTCAACTTCTGTATCTGTAGGGAGGTGGTAGTGCCTGCTTTATCAGCTGCCCTTAGAAGCAAGTGAAGCTGCGTGCATGGTGCGTGGCACGTAGAAGTGTTCAGTGTGTYTTAGCTCTTCTTTTTTGTTTTGAGACAGAGTCTTGCTGTGTTGCCCAGGCTGGTCTCAAACTCTTGGGCACAAGCAGTTCTCTAGCCTGGGCCTCCTGAGAAGCTGAGACTACAGGTGCACATCTCCACACCCAGCTCCATGTCCTTTAAGTGAGGRATGACATTAAATTTAATCACAAGACCAAAATGCAAACGTGACATTGGTATACATGCATAGAATACTGTAAAGACTGGTATGGCTGTTCTCTAGAGCACAGTTTGATATGGTTTATTCATTTCTTGTCAGTGTCCTTCTGGCTGATCAGAGAAGGGTGCAAAGCCCTAGAAGCACCATATTGGGTCAGCTTGTCTCTTCTCCTTTCTTCCCTTGAAACTTGCCCCCAGTGCTTGTCCACTGTCTCCTGCTAGCTCAGGAGGATCTATCTTTAGTTCCTCAGGAAATTTTCCTTTCACTTTTGATCCAACTTGCACCTGACTCATTTTTATACTAGGCGTTCCTTCAGCCCCATGTGCTCAATGTGTTCTGTGACCATTTCTGTTGATGGACAGGGAGCTTAGGTGTGAATGGGGACTGTGGACTTGTCAAGGCATCTAAATGYCCATTCAGACCAGCTTCCTTTGACATGTTAGTCTGGGGTGCATAGAAAGGAAGAGATGATGATAGACTGGCAATTCTAACGTGCACAGAGGGGGAGCAAGTGTGGGGAACGCACTGGCTCCAGAG